CCAAAACCTAAAAATGCCGAAGAAGCGAAAAGATTAGTAGCTTTCTGTAATTACTACAGAAAATGTATTAAAAATTTTGCGAAACACTCCCGCCACATAACAAGATTATGTAGAAAAAATGTTCCATTCTAATGGAATACAAACTGCGAAGAAGCATTCAAATATCTCAAAAATAAACTCATGTCACCTACTGCACTGCAGTATCCAGATTTTACAAAGCAATTCTGTGTTACAACAGATGCAAGCAAATACGCTTGCGGTGCAGTACTTAGCCAGGAGCACAATGGTGTTCAACTGCCTATAGCATATGCTTCTAGAGCTTTCACTAAAGGTGACAGCAATAAATCAACAATTGAGCAAGAACTGGCAGCAGTCCACTGGGCGATTGTACATTTTCGACCGTATTTATATGGAACAAAATTTTGAGTAAAATCCGACCATAGACACTTATCATATTTGTTTGTGATGAAAAATCCGTCATCAAAATTACCACGTATGAGGCTAGACCTCGAAGAATACGATTTTACAATAGAATACCTTAGGGGCATAGAAAACCATATAGCTGATGCATTATCAAGAATAAAATGTGATGACACAATCACAAGTAAAGAAATAACAATTCAAGATTTAAACGAAAAAAACGAGATCCTATAAAAAACTCACATATCTCTGAAAATTTTATTAATAAAGGTAAGCCCAAAGTATATGACGAAATAAAATTTAATAACGTCAAAAAGTATGTCACACTAAAGCTCTCTCTAAATGAGTGCTCATTAAAGAACGGAAAAGAGACTTTAGTACACTTTAAGGTTAATGATTTGTTTGTTAATGAGAAATTTGACTTAGGACAATTTTTCTCTAGGCTGGAAACAGCAGCCAGCAAATTGAAAATTACAAGTTTAAATGCCACCAAAAGAAGAAATATTCGAAACCATACTCACTAGTGAATTTAAAGAAAATTAATATAGCGCTATTACCCAAGGTGACAACAATAAATAATCAAAATAGAGATATGGTGACTGAAATTTTAAAAAAGTTCCACGACAATCCAATCACTGGTGGCCACAGTGATGTCGCGAGAACTACTGCAAAAACAAAACGTTATTACTATTGGCGATACATGACTAAAGACATAAAAACATATATAAAGTCATGTGAGAATTGCCAAAAAGCAAAAATAACAAGACACATCAAACCACCCGCAGTAATAACACCAACACCAACTACTGCGTTTGGAATAGTGTTTGTTGACACGGTTGGACCTCTGCCTAAATCGCAGAGTGGTAACGAATACGCTGTTACAATTATTCGCGAACTAACCAAATACTTGATAACAGTTCCAGTTCCGAAAAAGGACGCAAAGACAATAGCAAAAGCAAATTAAAAATACAAAAAATTACATCCACCGCTTATCATCATCAATCACTAGGTACAGTAGAGCGCGCTCGAGCGTAGCCACCGCACTTTAATTGAGTATTTACGCTCATATATTTCAGTGGAAAAAGACGATTGGGACGAATGGTTGCGATATTTTACATATTGCTGCAATACCATACCAACAGTAACACACAACTACTGCCCTTTCGAACTAATTTTCGACAGAACGGCGGAAGAAATTAATTTTATTGATAAAACAGAACCGATATATAATATAGATAACTAGGCGAAAGAACTAAAATTTAGATTGCAGATAGCGTGGGAAAGAGCAAGACTTTTGTTACAGCAACAAAAAGAAAAGGCAGAGAAATTAGTAGATAGGAATTCAAGAGATTTTAAAATAATTATAGGAGATAAGGTAATTATTTCAAAAGAAACAGGACATAAGTTAGAAAATAAATATACAGGACCAAACCGTGTCATAGAAATAGACGACAGGAATAGCTACACAATAGAAGAAAAAAAGCCTTAGAGTACATAAAAGTTGATTGAAACTATTTAGCACATAATTGTTCACCAAAAGAATGAATATCACTTTTTGAAAATACAACTTGTCCTTTTCTCTAAAACATTTTTATTATATAATCAGAATTTTAACTATTTTGTGTAAATAGAGATTTCAAAAACATATAATTAAAATAAATTAAAAAAAAA